TCTATCTCTCTCTCTCTCTCTTTCTTTGTGTTCATTCTTCTCGGTGCCAAAGTTTTTTTTTTTTCGTGCTTTCATTATCGCTCTCGCTTCTTTTTTTGTTTCGGCCCTCGGTTGCTCCGTACAATTTTTTACTTGTACAAAAATAACTCGCAAAGAACTCCTGTAAGCACTCAAACTGCACCCTTTCGAAAGAAAAAAAAAGAAAAAAAAAATTGTTTTTCACGCTCCCGTGCGGCAATTCGGAGCCATTAACGACTCGGGTTGTGGTGATTTTTTTTTTTTTTTTTGAAAAAGCTTGCCACCGCCGCACAAAAACCACTCGATAAGCAAAAAGGCCGTGAAAGAGTAGTATCGGGAAAAAAAAAAAAAAAAAAATAAACCGAAACCGATCCACCCGCCCCGTTACATCGTGAAGTTTGATCGAAGCCAATGGCAGAGCAGATTGTTCGGCGTCTAAGGTACAGGAAGGGGGGGGGGGGTGAAGCCTTCCGCCGAGTTGTCGGCAAAATCAATAATAAACGTTGCTTATCGAAAACTTATAAGGGCCTGCCTCTGGCCTATTTCGAGTTTTACAAGCTACACACCTGGCGATGGCGCTGATCGATCGATACCTGGTGGGCTTTGGCTGGGATAGAGATGAAGAGCAGGAGAGATCAAGGGGCGGGGGGGGAGGGAGGGAGGAAGGAGTTATGTCAAAATGAGAAATGTCTCCTTTCCGAGCCCACCTGACATTCGCATTACCTGGAGGGGGCCCTCGGATATATCTCTCTCTATCCCCCTCTATACGTGTGCCAGACATGTGCCAACGTGGCGAATACTCGAGCAAAAGTACAAGAACTCGACGACGGAAGAAGGAGGTGTGTCTAAAAGTCGAAATCGCATCAGAGGGTATATACATATATATATATATATAGCTACATCATTGGTAGTCGTGATAGTCGCGGCAAAGCTCGAGGAAGCAGGATGAGAAACTTTCGAGGCAACTTGTTCGGCTCCGCTTGTTACGATAAATGCACAAGGAGCCGCGTTCTCGGTGCTGCGGGCCACACCGGGTTATGCCTGATTGAATTTGTAAATCCTTGCCCTTCTCTTGCCTACTTATGCGAACTCGGGGGGGGGGGGGCTCTCTGTAAACTTTAAAAGACACCTGTACCCGCGCATGTACAGGGGGGGGGGTGTCTCAAGAATAAGAGAGAGAGAGAGAAAGGGTTGCACGCGTTGGGAAACGAGAGCAGCCAGGGCCGGACAAACGAATGCTCGCCGTCGACGAGGGGCGAATAATAAAATATTCATCCCCATTGCAGTCGGGTACATACTTCCTCGAGTGTGTATTATATACACCGCGTTGTCTATATATATATACACATGGGCGCTCGTTCCCGGAAATCCCTCTCGCAGCAGTCGGACCATCCCTTATCGCCCTTAGCGGGAAGCTCGGCTCGCATATATATACGTCTCCTCTCATTTGTCCCCCCTTCTCCCTTGCCTCCAACGCCACCTTATCGCCCTCCGCCCTACATCTAATTTTACATCTTCGTAAAACCTCCTCGTTTTTCAGTCGGACAGCCCTTCGGTTCTCTTTTTTCTTCTTCATCTATATATATAAGGGTCGCCGCCAGCGTGGCTCATCAAATTTCTCAGCTCCCACCATTGACTGTCAGCGCTCTATTACTCCGGGTATAATAAACTCGCTCCTTAGACCGGCTTTAAGTGATTGTTTCTCCTCTCCCGCTCCCCATCGCCCAAGCGATGTTAGGTATGTACACGCGCATCATCAATCTAATTCCCGCAATCATTTGCTGCCTCCCCTCCCCCTACCACCACCTTTGAATTGTTTATTTTTTCCGGACTATACACCCGAGTCGCATCGAAAGAAAGATGTACGCGTACAAAAGGACAGGGTGAATTAACGCGACGGGATGATTCATGAGTATCTTGTATATGTCCGCGTGGAGGGTGCAAGGCGAGGGAGATCAAAGGGGGAGGGAGAGGCAGAGGGCAATCGATGGGAAAAGCATCCCCCCCCCTCTCATCGACTCTTCTGATCAATCGGTCGAGTGTGTATACAGCGGCAGAACAATTCCTCCGTAGCGGGGATCCTGCGTATAGCTCGCTCGCCCGTTGGATCCAGAAAAGAGGGATGAGAGGGGGCTGGAGGAGCCGAAGCGCTTACCCGGCCATTACACGAGCTATATTTGCATATTGCAACTCCTCTACCCCCTCTCGTGTTATATATTCGTGTATCCTCGTCCCCCTTTGCTCCTCATTCCCTGTATACGTATATCTGTATAGTTATATATTATGCACTCGTACCCGAAAGTCATACTTACACCCTCGCCCAGCCTCGTTTCGTTCTATCTGAAATTACGCGCGTCTTGCCCGTCCGATTAATCCGTTCCTGTGAGGGTATATATATATCATACACAAACGTGCCCTGTATACGTATAATACATAATATATATCTATTGTTACTGCATGTGTAGGAGAGTTGGCCCACCATAATATAGACTCCAACATGTGTACGAGCTCGTTAATTTCACCTCCCGCGCGACTCCTTTCAAAGTCCACGCGTGTGTATATGTATAAGTAAGGCTGCACCGACGGTGTACTCTCTCCCTCGTACATATATACTACATACGTATATCATATAAATATACCCGCTTCGTATACATGATTATTATCCGATAAGTTGTGCGCCAGTATATGTATAATGTATACATATATGTACACGCCCGCGCGCGTATATGTAGGTAGAACAAGCGATCGCCTCCCTTATGGTACGTTGCGTGTGCATTACTATATTAATATACAGTGCGAGTATGTACGAGAGCCAAGTGGAACAAGTTTTCGGCATCGCTATACGTGTATGTATAATAATATGGTATATGCACATTAGCACACGGATTTCGAGCCAACTTTTCGAAGATCCGAATCCGATCCGTATACGCGCTTTTACTCCCGTTCCGCCGATCTTTCGTATACCCCCCCCCCTTTTTTTTTTTTTTGGCCGGTCCCTGCTAAAACATCATCCGGCAGCTCTAAAGTAAATATACGCGGCCAGATTCACGCATTCGCGATTGAATTATCGGACCGATGCCTCGCATGTACTCGCTGGTATACCGTATAAATCTAAATAAATCGCAACAAACCATACATCCATACGCTGCGGAAGTGTAGCCAACGATCGCTGGTGTCGGTGTTGGTGCACACTTCGAATGAAATTTCAGCTCTTTTGCCCTGGAATTTCGGTTCGATCGCCTATAAATGGCAAATTTATAATGACGAAAGCGAGAAATAGAAAAAAAAAAAAAAAAAAAAAAAACGGGGAAGAGAGTTTTGATACCTTAAAAAGCTTTAATATGTCATGCGTGCGCGTGTAGGTGCAAGGACACGCGCGTGCATTGATATATACCCGACCGGATATGGATTGCAGGGCGTGCGGAGGAGGAAATGTGAAAAAGCTTTTGACGTCTGATAAACGGGCGGAGCAAGGGTCGCGAGAGAGAGGGCGAGGCAAAAGGATATTATTTCGCTGTGTGCGTATACGTGTGTATATATGTATTGATTCGCATTTTTCTAGCCGTTCGTTTGATTTTTTGCGCCTCCGGCACCGGTACACTGTATTGCATGCGTATACACGCGGTGTATAGCCATTGAAGGTGTACAGCCAGATGATGCACAGCGTTGCGAGCAAAGGCAATCGTGAGACTCGATCGTATGTACATGATGGAAAAAAATACCTGTAGGTACACCTAAAGCAATTTAAAAAAAAAAAAAAATAATGATCATGCCATGGCAAAAAAAGCTCAAAGTTTACTTTGAAAAGCTTTTTTTTTAGTTTTTCTTATCCAGGAGTAGGTACCGAGTAGCTTTTTTCAAATTTTTCCGAAAAAAGTTAGTGGTCACTGTATTCGAAGCACGACCCTTCAGAAGTACTTAACGATGCACTAAGAGAAAAAAAAAAAAATAACAATTACTGTGCTAGAATGGTAATCTGGTACCGTTTCGTCGTCTAAAGATTTTTCAATGTTTAGAACAGTATTTTTTGTTGTAAGTACAGTGATTTTTACTTTTTGTTGTCTAGAGTAAGGTAAAAATTAGGTTGGCCAAAGTAAAAAGTCTATAGACGGCTGAATGACATCTGATTACCATTCTTATAGCACAGTAATTTTTTTTTTTTTTTTTTCTCAGTGTTGAAAGTTGAAACCTAACGTGCGCTGTAATATTTTGAAATTTTTTTTTTTTTTTTTAATAATGTAGATAATACAGAATCAGCTTGCAGATAATACATTGATGCTTCATGCTTTCGCCAGTACAAAATTAAATATGATAAGCCGCGAGCCACGCATTATTCATATTTAAGCAATCATTAAAAACCAGGTCCGTCGAATTGCGCGAATCTTTGATATGTAAAATTCTTACATCCTTCCTGTGCTGATCGCATGTACGAAAAAATAGAGTTTTTGGTTCATACCACTCAATCACTGTGAGACACTTAATTTTAACTTCCCACGCCTTGCCATGTAGTGATTATCCTGAAACAGCTCGATCGAATATTTGGAACGCAAGACCAGGAAAAACTCTTGCGTTAATTTTGTTGAGTTTCATGTTTCCTTGATAAATTGTGGGTTAAACGCTCCAGAGAAAAAGGTACGTAATTTAGGACAATCGTCCGAAAAAACGCGTGGAATTGGGAAACATACCGTTATTGTAACATATCATCGTTTGTCTGTGTTGAGACAAGTGAAATTACCCGATATCACTGGTATCAGGCTTATCGAATAAGTATACACATGGACGTACACAAGTGCAAGTGTATTGAGTATATTGGCGTGTACCACAACGTGTCACTGCTTTTCAATTCAGAGAAACAAAATTTCACCAAGGCCACACTGACGTGCCACACTTACTCTTGCTTAGTGTGACTAAAACCCAAAGTTTCAAGTGCCGCTATCTCCTTGTTCTCGGTCGACTACTACCGACAAATCAATTTTATATAGTTAGCAGCAACACGCTTCATACGTCCTTGCCGTTGTGTCGTTCGTGCTAATATAGTATACATCAGTAGTCAAAATGGCTTTTCCGGTGAGTACGTTGATATTTAGATTTTTCATTTTTTGCAGTTCTTGTACTCTCTATTTATATAATAATATTACTAAAATCAACACGTTTTCTGCAACAATTAATTACTGAAACTTTGTACTATATTTTTCATTGTTGATTGAGTGCGTATACGCTGTTAATCTCAGTGGGTTGTTCAAACACATTTTTGAAAAGGAATAATAACGTTTGTAAGTGATTTATTATCAAGTGCACAACTAGTTGATTTTTGTCAACAAAAAAAAAAAATAAATGATTTTTGATATTCATTTATGTAGCATCAATTTACTGACTGATTTAAGCATCCAAAAAAATGATGAAACGGTTCTTTAGTGAAATTTTTTTTACGGAATTGTAAATGAGTGTATGATCGGTGGTTTAAAATCGGAGTCTAATTTTATATTTCACCTCAAAATTTCGAAAAGTATTGTGAATGTATTTTCCTTTCTAAATATAGAACCATAATCGCTTGTTTCGAAGTACGTTCAATTTAAACGATGAATCATAAGCGACGTATGCCCAACGACTGGTCAAATATTTCAACGGAATTATTTGCTCATTGGAACTATAAGCTCTAAATATTTTATTTTTTTCATAATAAAAGGAGGCTCTTGTGTCAATTAAAAGTTTTCAGAATCAGAATCAACTATGACAAATCGTTCATAAAATTTCGGTCGCCATTTAAAATTTTAGCCTGATGGGATTGTTTCAAGAAATTTTTGATTTAGTTCAACACTTGGTACAACAAACAATAATGCAACTTTTAGATAGAAAATAAGAAAATTTACTGTAGTTATAAGTGCATTAATGCACAAACATTTATCGGCAAGAAGCACTTATGATTATCGAGATAATTATTTTCTTATCATTTTTAATAATCTTTTCTTCGACGACTGTTCTCAAGATATTAAGAATATAAAAAAATCAAATATTATCTATTTAAGACTTTCCGACTATAATTTGTTGATTGAAGCTTTTTTATATCGACTATATTAATAACATTTGAGAAAATCACAATATTTTGTCAAGTACCTACTTTGATCCAAAGATGAAGGGAATCAAAACAATCTTTAAAAATCATGAGTTACGTAGTACATGTAAGCATCGAGGAATTAAACACTTATCGTACAATTCAGATTTACCAATACTATAGAAATTAGTAAAATATTTTATTTCTCGATGAAGATATAACTAGTTTTGCTTTCATAAGTGTTAAACTACAATATTAACATTATTATTTTTATGAACGAATGATTACTATTTTTTTCAAATTCCATAGCAGAATTAACATGCTAAAAGGTAACATGAATGACAAAAAAAATTTAGTATATGATACTAATGTGTTGATTCATGTAGAATTAAAAACATATTTTTTAACATTGTAAACATTTTAGGGACATCCTTACGGCGCACCAGGAGGTGCACCAGTAGGTTATTCAGCAGGTTTTCCAGGAGCTGCACCAGCAGGATTTCCAGGAGGTGCACCAGTAGGTTATTCAGCAGGTTTTCCAGGAGCTGCACCAGCAGGATTTCCAGGAGGTGCACCAGTAGGTTATTCAGGAGGTTTTCCAGGAGCTGCACCAGCAGGATTTCCAGGAAGCTGTCCTCAAATACACCCACAAGTTCAAAGCTGGTTTGCTAACGCGGACATTGATGGTAGTGGAAGAATATCAGCCTTTGAATTGCACGGTTTCCTTAACCATATACGAAGTGGAATGTTTTCTATTGAAACAGCCCGTGCTTTAATAGGTGGGTATACAATAAAATCAAAATTTGTTTTTCTCCACATAAAAGTTCATTTGAAAATGGAAAAAAATTAATTTTTTTCCAGCAAAATTTGGCCACGAAAACAAGATATCAGTTAACATCTACGAATCTCAAGCTCTTTTTGATTATATCAATGCTCGATTGTTAATCTTTAACGTGTATGATCATTCTCAATCAGGATGCATGAATGGGGCAGATTTAGGTGCAGCTTTTGCCCAAATGGGTTATACATTGAGCTCAGAATTTTTCGAATTGGTCATCTCAAGGGGCTATGGTGACGACCAAGCAATGGTCTCCATCGACAACTTTATCATGTTATTCTTGCAAATAGAAAAATTAACAGGTTTGTACATTCATGTTTTGAAATTGTTATTATGTATTGTGTGAATATGTAATAATTATAACTTTTTTAGATGAGTTTAATATGAGACAACCAAACAGCGCTGGACACATCACCCTTGATTATGAAGACTTTCTAACAGTGATCCTCAAAAGTGATTTTTAAAACTAACTGATTCGAATGACTTTTTTTAAATATTATTCATAAACACTTTTTATTATAACTTTGTACGCTTTAAACATTTTTATTGTTAAAATGTAGTGACAAATTTACACTTGTTTTGTTTAAAAGATTTTCTTGATATTTTTATTTAAATTATTTCTTACTCGCAATCAATTTATACTAAATTTTAAACATTATCAATACTGAAAAAAAAAAAAAAAAAAAAAAAAAAAAAAAACGATTAATACATTTTTATAACTCATTCTAATTGCTTTAACTTCTTGGTGATAATTCCCATGAATTCATGTCCACTTGCAACATTGATTACTTTCAGTAATACTACGAAAACCAATCTTTGTAAATTTCCATAAATTGTAAAAATTGTCATGAACCTATATTTTTATTTTGTACAGTTATTACTTTTTCTGGACTGGGATTTTTTTATTTTTTAAAAATTTTATCAACAGATAGAAAAGTACTCCTTCAAATTTTTTCAGTCACGTCTTGCATAATTAATTCTTTATATTTAGTCACCGCATATCGAGGTGGGCCATACTTTTACTTCTGTACACAGAATACTTTAAAAGACAAGCTTGGACCACAGGTATTATGAGATCAATTTAATTTTCATCTTTAAAATACAATATTGTACAACTAAGGGTAATTTTTATTTTTTTTGACAGAAAATAACGTATACTCGTATGTACGTACCCGACGGAAATAAAGTACACGCAAAAAAATGGCTCCCCGAGGGCACTTTCGAGCTATTGCGTATCGTTCACGCACACCCAGAAATATATAAGACACACGACCCCACGCGTTTTTTTAATAAAAAAAAAAAAAAAACATGTGCGCGTGTGAACAAATCGCAACGCATATATATTCGTCCTTTACCTATGTATATATACGCCAAATGGATATGCCATGTCGCCCCGCGATGGAGATTGGGATTGCCGGGAAATGCCCGAATGTGTGATTGACCGGCAACCTCTGGTCCGTGTATATGTAATACATCCCTCCACGCGTATGGATCGCCCGGAAACGAGTTTACCCTTCCAAACTCACCTGCAGCGATCACAACTCCCGTACTTTTAAAAAGCTCTCCCCCCCCCATACTTCACACATACATATTTTTCTTTGTACGGCGCTAAAAATTAACAACGACCGGCCATTGTTGTTTCTTCATTTTTCGTATGCTCGTTAAAAACGAACGCACACACACGCGCGCATTGTTTTTCAAAAAACCAAAAATTCCCCCCCTCCCGGAATACAAAATCCGATTAGAGCGCCGTATCGACGAAACAACTATTCCGGCTACCTCTAAAAGCTCTTTTTTTTTTATTGTACTTTTCATACCCATCTGCCAACTCTGGTAGTTTTTTTTTCAACACTCATCCCCGATTATCCATCGTATAGAAGCTCACAGGTCAACCGGAGTCGTCGCAACGAATGTATATGGCCTCGGGGCGCGAGCACACATATATTATATTATATTATCATGTTGTACAGTGGCACTTGCAAATTGAATTATCGCTGCGCCTTGGCTAATTTACATGCAAAGACCGTGTGTGCACCCACGAAGGAGGGGACGAAGAAAGCCTCACCCTCGCGCCTATACATTATAACATATTATACGTACATACCATAAGCCATACAAGGTGTCGGGATTAAAACTTTGAATTACAGGGCTTTCCCGTCCGCGGTTCGAGAATTTTGGATGGATGTGTATGCGGCTGTTGCAGCCTCTTTCTTTTATACTTCATCAGCCGGCTCTCTCGCGAGGAAGAACTGTGTGCGACGCGCGAGAGAGAAAAGAAGACGCGGAAAAAGCATGAACAGAGGATTGTACGTATATATAGAAACTTGGCCGCGCGGCGAAATTTCCATTTAGAGAGACTCCACGGTCTGCTCACCGCATCACGCGATTTGCAGGAATAAGAAGCCGCGGGGAGGAGGATTGGCGTGCACTAGGGGGTAACCGAACCACATTCTCTCGTCTTGTTTTCCAGCATCATTCAATTGACGCCAGCCAATATCTGCTAAATGATAACATATATATGCTTCCTCCTCTTTTATTTAGCACGTGTAGAATAAAGGCTTGGGTTTTTTGTTTCAATTTTATTTTGCGTAACATTTTTTATTTTCAGTGTACATGTACCGTGTGTCACATGATGAGCTGCGAGCGCTGTTGGTATATATATATATATAAATAAATACGTGATGTTTTGTGCGTCGACGTGTTGGTATAGGTGTATATTTTTATCTGTTAAGCTCGGAGGGAGGCTCAATCGACTTCCAATTTTCTGAAGGAGCCGTGGATGCCGAAGAGCTCGTCGAGGTCGATTGTCGGGCCGGGCCGGAGCGACTCGTCCACGGTCACCTTTTCCTCCTTCAAAAACCAATTGCGCCACTCCGACAACTTTTGCCGCCATTTTTCTGAAAACCCGCACGTGGCGTATTAAACATTTTCAACAAACCACCCATTGCGCGTCTACCTATATGTATACATTATATACTGCACCATCTAATTCGTCCATCGACGGCTGCTCGCCACCGTAATCCACGGGCAGTACCGACTTTGGCACGTGCTCGTACAAAGACTCGATACCCGACGAGTGGACGTGTATCTACACGAAACACAATATTATAACTATTTTCACATTGGTGATTCAACGAAACGTTTCAGAGGTGCCGAAAAATCTCCACGGCCCCTTTGATAATACATAATATAT